AACCTCTTTAAATGAGAGTATCTTGTATGCTGCCAAGGCCTTTTTGGTTATTAGTTTCTGTTTAGATTCCTGTGATGCTTAAGAAACTAAAGCTAATCCGGTTAAATTTAAAAGTTTAAAATACTACAATACCTCTTAGTTATTTTATGAGGTGTCCAGGAAGGAGTTAGTACCTCTTCTGCATGGAAGAATAAAGATGTGAAAGCTTTACATGGGGCTCTAATTCAGTGCTTTGACTTACAATCAGACTTCAATAATCTGCCAAAAGTCTTATTTCAATAAAGCATTCAACTTTGGGGAGGAAGGAGAAGCTTAGCTTTATTTTGCTTATGCTCCATATTGAGGCTGACAATTTTAACATACACCTGGAACTTTTTTAATAGGTTCAATAGTTGAATTAACTCAGTGGTTATAGGAACTGCAGAACCAGGGGTATTTGTATATCAAAGTTACAAAATAAATAGAACACTGTTTTTTGGCATAAGGCTGTATAATTTTGAATTAAACTGAGAGCTCTTTACTTCTGTTGTATAAGGTTTAGTTGTATAGGTATCCATAAGAAAAAAAAAAAATATTTGAGAGTGTTTCAGCGATAGAAGTGTGAGGAATAAGTGCTCACCTGACATGCCAACTCTTGAAGTGGCTACTGATGTAATATTGTCTTTACATGTTCACTTGGAAGGTTATTTTATTGGTAGGATACTTGTTTACTGGATAGTCATTATAGTAATTCATGTTTGATGTTTTAATCCTGCCTCTATGGAAAGTCAGCCAATTCCTACACTTCTATTGTAAGGCTTTAAACAAAGCTGCATAAAAAAGCATGGGATTTAAAGCAATGCTGTGTTACAAATTATGAATGTAACAAAAGGAAAAGACTGTTGTGACTGTGTTTCAGGTGATGTTTACGATTGCCAGTGTTTCACACTGAAATAATGATGGGGAGGGCAAAAATGTTGGTGTAAAAGCATTTGATAATAGAGTTATAATTTGTTTCAATCTAGGTGTTCAGTGTTCTTGGGCTAATGCCAAGACTGAAATCTTTTCAGTAAGTCTGAAGACAACAATTTCAGTATTGCAGTTTTAAGAAGCATTGATCTACTAACAGAGGCTAGATGAATGAATATGGGACTTAAAAACCTTGCTTTTTCATAAAAACTCCAGGAGTGCACCATAAGCAGCTCCCCTTCTGCTGCCTGCACTTGTCAGAAGTGTGTTGCTGTACCTGTAGTAAAGGACTTCACGTACCACTTCTTTCAGTCACTTCAGATGCTCTGTTCAGAGTTCTGTGGGTCCTCTTGTTGCTCAGTTTAGGTTTTTTTTTTTGTTTCAAAGGTAATGACTTTACTTTTCAACTCATAGTTTGGTACAGTTTTTACCTGGTAATCCTCATCAGTGTTATGCTGTGAAATTGCAAAATATTAAGAGACTTTGCAGTGTCTGAGGACTTGAAAAGTATGAAGGCAGAAGTCAGTCTTTTCTTGTTACTATAGCTCTAGCTGCTGAGGTCAACTGTCCCCATGTCCAGCATGTTGAGATTTTCACTTATGAAATGCATTCAGAGCCTGTCATATGTCATAAAGTATATATATGCACAGCTGAACATGACATAACTTTCAGTGTTGAAGAGGAGATCATAAAATGTAGTCTTAATCAAGTGTCTATATCTAGTTTTAAGACTTGCATGCTATTAATGAACAATATAAATATTAGGAATTGGTTGAACAAAAATATTTTCTGTCATTTTCTGTGTGTAATCCTGGGGTGTCATTTTGGAAGATAAAAAGCCAGTGTTTCACAAGCCTTAGTAATGTAGAAATGAAAGCCAAAATATCTGTGAAAGTAAAACCTTAATGCAAACCCTAAATCTGGACGTGAGCATGTACTTAACTCAATCCTTTCTTTCATTCAGAGGAGCAACAGGCTGCAGTTGCTGCTTTACAAGGCCTTTCTGCTGTCTTACAAGGCCTTCTGTGGCAAGTAATGTTGTTCTGTTCCAGATGTATTTCATCTCCTGAGATGAGTTTTTGGAATAGTTCATAGCAAAAGTAATTGATCCATTTCAGGAGTTGTTGAGTTTTTTCCAGAGCTTTGAGCAAACTACAGTTCCTTACTGGATAATCTCAGGAGGTGGTTAAAAAGAATAAATTCTTTTTGGTTGTAATTTTAAATCAATTACAGTGAATTGTTGCAAAAATCTTTATTTCTGCAATGTGATGCAGCAATAATACCTGAATTAACTTAGTCTGTTAAAAGAAGCATGCCTCTGTACAAATAGAAGGAGCATTCTTACTCAATGTACATGATGCTGTTTTGCTTGTTCCAAGTCTGTCCTGTACAAAAAAACATTATTGTAAAAATCTTAGACATCCTTGCTCAACAATTCATCTAATAAGTTCCTTTTCTTTCTTCACCTTGGTCTCCCCACCAAAAAAATTTATTGAGCATGTAATCTTGCTCACCGCTCTTTGCAAAGTGACCAAAGAGAAGTCTTTTTTTACAATTTACTCAATTCACTTCATATATTAAATACCATGGTCTCTTTGTGTCATGGTTTGCTTAAACAGTGAATTTACTGAAAGAGAAAAATTGAAGCAGTGGATGTTCTTAGTGCTTTCATGACAAGAATCAAGAGTTTACAATGTCTGCATTCCTGGGTTTTTTTTGGTTTTTTTTCCCCCAAAGATACAGAATCACATAATTGCTTTCTGAAAGTCCAATTTCATCCATCCCACATTCATGAATTTGTCAGATGCTTGTTTCTCTGGAATGAGATGAATGGGTTTGATTCCTAGGGAGGGATCATGTTGAGTTAGAAGAGTAGGCCACTGGCATGCGTTGCACTTCTAGGTGATGTGAAGTAAATCACAGCCTTTTTCTTTCCTGCACTGAGATTTCAGTCCTTCTTTATGGCCTGCTGTTCTTCTCTGGTAATAAAGGATTCATTTCCTTCTCCTGCAGCTTTCAAGGGTTTGTGACTGACTGCTGTGTAAAAATGAAGCTTACCACTCCTTTTACATTCTGCTCAATATGGGAAATACTCCATCCACCAAATCACATTCTTAAAGCTGTGACGCTGTATTTGTGGCAAGAGTGGGGAGGAAAAGAATAATTTTGGTTAGATAACATATTTCAAAACCCCCTCTTCTATATTACCTGGGCCAATCTCATTGCTTCAGTTAGATCTTCTCTGAAGTTACAGCAGTTACCTATAGTAGAACAGACCTGCTTCAGCCACAGTGGAACAAGGTGGAAACAAGACATGTGACAGGCAGCAATTTTGAAACAGCTTACATATGACAGAAAAATAGGGATTTGCAGATAATGCTCCAAATATACTTCTTACTGTATTTTATTTTTCCTTAAACAATTAAATATATATACACATGCAAAACCTATATGTATGTATATAACTATACTTGTATCCTACAATAAAGAATGAGTTAAATTTCAAAGCTCTGGTGGTTGTTTTATTTTTTTCCCTGAGGAGAACCCTTCAAAAGTAGAGTAATTTGAATTTACCAGATGATATATGTTCAAATTCTGAGGCGATTTGTGACTTGCTCTGTGTTTTTTGTATTTAAGCTTTATATAAATCTTTGTGATTGCAGTTGTTTAAAATGTAAGCCAGTCAACTGAGTTTTTATATGTATATATTACACTTATAGCTGGAAATCTGACAAAATATTTTCCTTCAAGGACATAAATGAAATTGACTATCAGAGCAGTAGTAGTTAGTAATGCACTTCTGAGGATTATACCCATGAGCAAATTGTAAAGGAATAATGCAGGTGGATGGACAAAAATAGTTATGAGTATATTCGCTACAGTGTATCCTGAAGGCATTTGCAAACCTTTCTCCCTTTAAAGATGATCATCAGTCTTAATAATAAAATAAAAAAACCTCACTGGGAGATTTACATTAAAAGTAGTCATAGTACTCTAAGTTAATTCAGGTAATACTGTTTACAGCAACTAGTAATTAGACATTTTAATCTTCTACTTTGATCTCATTAGGGGCCAAAAAAATCCAAATTTTGCAACAAATCATAGAGTTCTAAGTCCTGACACTGGAAACAGACTGCAGCTTCTTTTTCCTTAAGGAACAATATGCTATTCCATAGTGCTGGTTTAGCATTTCTATTTCCTATTGCAAATTGTAGAAAGTGTAACAAGGCAGAAAAGTTTGGTTTTGCTGGGGTTCTTACTGATTTTTATATACTTCAGAAGACTCTTTACCATTTATGAAAAGACAAACACATTTCTAATTTACCTCAGTAATGTCTTACTGGAGACAACAAAAAAATTGTACAGGTAACATTAATTAAATGTTCAACTGCAGCTTTTAGCTGTGGTTCTGCACAAAATAGCTCATAATTTAGGGGTCAAAGTTGACTCTCTTGTTTATATTGTACCCCTGATGTTACCATCAATTCCAGAAACCTACCTGGAGAAAACATAGCAAAATATGTCAAAAAACTCTAAGCTCTTACAGGCAAAGTTTTATGTTAGAGTTTTAGGGCATTTCGATTCCTGTTGGTGTAAGTAGGGTATGGTCCAAATAATGACTTTTATGAAGCTGTAGTTTTTTTCCAGATTGTTGCAGTGTCAGGGACTGCAGCAAAGTCTTGCTGATTGTCTCTGTAAAGAGGTTGCCTAATGAGCCCCTTTCTGCAAGGATCAGATGGGTTTGTCCATGCTGACATGCTGTACTGCAAACTTTTCAATGGCCTGAGAATGTCTTGTCTATTAAAACTGGCTGTGAGAGAGTGGCAGGCCCATCCAGCTCTCCCTAGGAGGCTTGTGCCTGATATTAGTAAGATGGAAGGAAAAGTGCTAGGCTGTTCTGAGTGTGAAGTTCTCCTGTTGTGTTTTAATACTGGGATTTCTTGGCTGCCAATCAGGAGGTGTAGTTTTATTTAGAAAGTGCAAAATGTTCCTGTAAAGTATAGAAAGCACTGACAAACACAAAGATTGCAATTTTAGGCTGTGTAACAATCATGGAAAAATTGTATGGTTTGTATTTGAGGGTTTTTTTTTTTTCCTATTCCATTAGAGAGCAGTGAATCTTGTGTTGTGTGTTTAATTAATTTTTTTTTGGGGGGGGTTAAACTTGCTAATGTAAGAGAGACACTTGCTAATCTTTCTTAAAAATGTTCTCTGTTTTCATTGCAAGGTATGCACTGTTTTATAACCACTTGAAGAACATTGAGGAAAGTGAAGGTGGCCTTGGTAAATTTACAGAAAGTTACAAAACCTTTGGAGTTAACCAACTTGCAGATGGTGGAATATACTGCAAAGAGTGGGCACCAGGAGCAGAAGCAGTGTTTCTTGCAGGTGACTTCAGTAAGTATTCTTAGGAAAATTTCTTCCCTGCACAATGTTTTGCATCAATATTCTCTACATTTAAAGAAAATTTTGTTGCAATGATGAAATTCTGATAGTAAAAAATATGTCATGGCTTGAATGAATAATATTTTCCTGTGTGTTGCAGTAGCTTATGAAGATGTGTTTCTGTTGAGTGGTCAGTGTTAGGCATTTTTTTAATACCCCAAAGGCAATGACTCATGTCCCACTGGATCACACTGCAACTCGAGGCTGTATCTAAGCTTCCTGAAGTTCTTTTTAAAGCTTTATAACTAGACTTTTATAAAACTGTATGCAGAGAAGCAAAAATAACAGTGAAGTAATTTGCTTCATCTTCTTTTACTGATCAAACAACAGTGTTGTCTAAGGACCAAGGCCAGAATTCTCACCCATTTTGAGAGTTTAGACAAAAGTTCTGCTGGAAAATTGTAGCCTAAAATCAAGCCAAATATTACTGAATGAGTAGGTACTCTGTTTTTGTGAGGGCAGAAGGAGGAAAGATGTTAGCAGAATGGGATGGTGGCAGTATTACATGGAGGAATTGCCTTGCTTGCTCTGAGGACCAGGAAGACTATTCCCTTTGAATTTGAAACAAAAATATAAATTCTTCTGATTTGAAGGCTATCTACAGTCAAATCATGTTCTAAAGTTTTTGGATGAAAGTGGCATTCATCATTGCTCTTCAACCCTGCAATATAGTTCCTTGCTCTTCTTTTTGTTTAGGGTTTTGGAGAGTTTTGTTCTGATTTTCCCTTTCACCTCTACTCTTGCTTCTGTTAGGTCTGCCAAGGTTACTGGGTCTTGCATTGCTGGTTCTTACTGAACGGGGACTTTGTCTGTGAAATTATTTACTTCATTTAACTGTGTTTCAGAAGCATGCAGATTTATTTATCTGACCTTGATTTTGCAAAAATGCTGATCTAGAGAGTGCTCAGTGTATTTATATTGCAAAAAAGCAATAGGAAAAGAAGTTCTTTGAAGCAGTTGACTACTTCAGCTTAGACACAAAGCCAAATGTTGGTCATTCCTTACCCCTGTCTGAGGAAACTATCGAAGGGAAACTCCATTGTAGGAATGTTTTTATTAAAAAAAAAAAAAAAATCCTGTTTTTGATGCAGAAGTCAAACACAAAAGTTAGTGTAACACTGCTTTCAGCCATGTTCCTGTTTGATATGGTTAACATAGTGAATGATAAAGTGGCTTTTCTTGAAGTGCCGCTTGTCATTTTATTGGAATAGACATTGATAAATATGTTAGTGTAGTTCTTGCATTTTAATATTGAAATTGGATATGTCCTCTAATGCAACACTGAATAATGAGTTCTGTATAGTTCACCCACTGCTAGATAACATTGATTTCAGGTATCAATATAGACTGCAAGGCAGCTAGATCAGACTATTTTCATAGGTCAATTTTATATGTATAAATATACAGAAATTTCTCCTCCTTGTCCCTCCTCTACTTGCTGCAACTCCACCCATTGCTCAAGATTTTCATGGGATGGATGCAGGTTAAATTTATAAACACAGCTAGAGTGCATTTATTTAAAATATGTATTTTAAAAGATAGTAATATTAAAAACAGACTTTTAATAATACGTTTCATATTTTGAAAAGAGGCTATAACTTGTAAATTGGTTTATTAGCTTGAGGGTGGGAAGTATATGTATACCAGAATAGGGTAGCTAAACACTGGAACAGTTTTCTAAACCCTACTTCATTTAAAATATTTGATGTAGTACATCGTATGAAGCAGAAATTTAATATCTTAGAGTAGTTGTATTTAGACCCTAATGAAATATGGCAAGAAGAAGGAAAAAAAAATAAAAAAAAAATTCATTGTGATGTGGATGAACTGTGTTTCTTGTATATATCAGTCAGTCATAGTAAAGTATTCATTCCCAAAGGGGACAACAGTGTACTTGGAAAGACTGGAGCAATGGAAGGTTGTCATTCAATTCCTGAATAATATTCTCATGAGAAATTGGATTGCAAAACCCTAAGATTTAGAGTCAGATTGCTACAGATATGTTTAATTAAAACTGAATCCCTTTAACCTTTCTTTAAATTTTCTAGCAGGTTAAAGTCTCAGACTAAATTTATGATTATATTGTGCTTAAGTTGGATATTGGGATAGCCTTTAATAAGATTTTTTTTTTTTAAATAAAACTTTTTTATAAAAAGAACCATAGTGTAACCACATCACGGGAAGTTGGAAATCTTAGACATAGAAATAAACCTTGGACTTAGATGACAGAAGCTCTTTAGGTTTTAAACTGAAATATGGTGGTATATAATATAAAAACTGTCAATTAGTTTTTATTTTTTTTTTGGAGATGGATAGCAGTGTTTTCCTTAATAATATGGTATTGTCTGAGAATATCTTAATGTTTGATGTAATGACACAAAGTATTAGTCTGTGCTATTTCATCTTAAGGATCAAAAACTATTAAAAATTAAAGTGGCCAGTATCAGTTATATACAGAGACCTTGAACTATTTTTTTCCAAATTTATAATTTAGCTGATAGTTAATAATATCTTGGTTATGAATTATGTGTAGGATAAATATGACTAATTTACTTCTGTAATTATATACTGTGAAGCCTCAGTCCTGTACATGTAGTTTTTGGTGAATGACTTCTAGGCCTTAGATAATAAAAGCTTTGCTATTAAGGTATTTTGACCCAAATTATGGTATTTTTATTAATTATTCTGAGAAACTTGTAATTAGTGGGATAAGTCAAATTTACAGAAAAATAACTAGTATCACTGTGTATTTTGGGAAAAAAAAAAAAGCTAGAAACTAGTAATAGCACACAAATCTGTAAGTGCATTGGAGAATGAAAAACATGAATTCAAGAAAATCTCAATGCTTTCAGACCTAGTTTTGTCTCTTTAAAACTCCATAATTGAAGAGAAAAAGTATTGTATCTATTTGTGCTCTAGCATGATGCTTTACTCTAAGAAGTATTAAATGAACATCCCAAAACATTAAGATTTGTCAATTAGTACTTTCAGCATCTCAGTAAATCAAGTGTATGAGGCAATTAGTCAGCTGAATTTCCAATACTAGAGGCACTATCAACAATATAACTCCTTCAAAAGCTCTCAGTGATAACAATGAATATTTCATTTGTGTGCTCTGTTGCAGAGGATCCTGGTGACTACTGGCAATTTATTGCTGCTTTACAATTAACTATTTCAAAATAAGTCAGTGAACTGTGAATTTTGAGAGTAACCCACAGAATTTATTTAGGAATTGAAGCACTCACATTAGTATTTGGTCATGCAGAGGCTCAGTGAGTTATCAGTAAACAATTCCTTAATTTTGAAAAGAAAGCTACTGGTTTTAAAAAGCTTAAGAGTAAGTATGCATATATTGATTTGGAAGTCAGCATTTGTTATAATACATTGTTATATTTGTGGTTTCTGTTCTTTTATTTGTCTTCCCTCCTTCCCAGCTAACATTGATCTAAAATTTTGATAAGTCTGGAATGTCTGTTTGGTTTGGTTTCTGCTTCCTTTTTCTTGCACTGGTGGGGAAGGCTTCTGCTGTGGTTGGATGGTGAAGGGGAGGGTAGGATACTATGTTCTGGGGGGATATTTGTCTATTATTTAAACTCTAACAGGATCCCTTCAGAGTGAAAAGGGTGTACCTTAAGGCATTGTACTTCATAGTTTGGGTATCTCACAGCTGACTAAAATTTTATGTATCAGAATGTTTTGGATTTTTTTAATTCCAGATTTTTACTGAGATAGATTCTAGGTACTCTCATGTTATCTTACTGAATTTCTTACTGTTTCCTTCCAAGAATTTTTATAGCAAAATACTTAAGTTTGATGAGTAAAGTCAGTGTTAAAGTGCAGATGATTGAAAGTGGTAGACTGTAATATAAGGTGGCACTAATATCCAAGGAAACATCCTATCTGAGAATTAATGACACTTCTTTTTATGTCAGTGTTTGAGCTGTTTGCCCAATTTCCAACAGCTCAAGAGCAGGAGCATTAATGTAATCTGCTTTAAAAATTATTAACGTGGCAAGAGGAAGACCTAATTGGCCACTGTGTAGAACAGGATAGTGTCCTTGGAAAATCTCTCCAGTTATGTTCTGATTTCATATTCCAGTGAAGTGGAATACAGGTATCTTGCTGGGATACTGGGATTTTGAAGCTCTTTCCATTGTCTGAACTGCTTCTTGTCTGATAGACTTTCTTCAAGGATGATGTGTGTTTGCTGAACTCTCTATTCTCTTTAGATGTCTTTATTTGATCAGAAATTATGTGGAAATACAATTGCTATAAGAGATTTGATTTCACTTGAGAATTCAGCCTTATTTGATAAAGATTTTTCACTTTTGAAAAAATAGGTACAGTTCTTATATTGGACAAAGTCAATTGCTTGCTTAATATGCAAATTGAGTTTTTTGTCACAAATGGTAGATCCCAAACCTTTATAGCTTTGAATTCTGTTCTACGTTAAAGCTCAGTTCATGATTCTTTGCTATGCTAAGGGTGTAGTTTTGAGCAAGTTCCCCTGTGCCTCCTGTTGCTGAGGTAGGATGTAATGTTTAAATAATTGACTGGATTTGGAAGATCCAATCACAAAGATGAGACAAAGCAAAGTATCAGGCTATCAAAGATGTCTTCTGTGTTGGATTAAGCCATAGATGAGGCTTCAACTTTTGTACAGAAGCTTTTGCCTTTGTGTGTGGCTTATGGGTATTCTGTGAAGGTGTCCCTTCTCCCCAACACCTATTCAAGCTGATTATTTGAACTTCTGCTGGTAATCTTCTCAGCCTTTTCCTGTTTGTAGTTGTTGGCAGAATCTTTGAAGTCTCTGTTTTCAAGCTAAGATTTTTCTTTTGACATTTTTGTTTTCATCTTCATAATAGTCTAGTAATCATTTGCTGGTTAGTTGAGGTTTTTTTCTTTTTTTTTTCCCTCAGGCATTTTTGGCTAGGTTTTGCTGAAAAATCAGAAAACCAAGCAGTAAAACTGAGAGAAGCATGAGCCACTCTCTCTCTAAAGGGAACCTTCAGTTTTGAGAGTGTTCTATGTTCTTTATGCCTCTGGCATTAATACAAAGCAATGTTTTCTGTCATAATCTTTCTAAGTGAGCTCCTCTCCAGGGGTAATTAGTAAACAGTATTAGTAAACAGTGGGTTTAAGTAGGACCATCTGGGGCAGATGGGTATTGCTTTGCATTTATTTTTAAATCATGAGCCACAGGCTTGCAGTCACAGACTGTGGCTGGGAGCAGGAGGGATTAACAGGAGCATCTGGCATTGCTGGCAGGTGAAGGGGAAAGTTCAGGCAACTTTGGCAGAATTATCAAATCAAATGTGGAGAGCAGAACTATTTAAATAAGTAGAGAGATGTAACCATTACCCCTCTGAAGGAGGGAAGAGATGTGGTTTCAGTACAGGTCATGAGACTCTTTTTTAGTATTATAAGAATGCAGTGGTTTTGGTGAATGTGATTAACTCCATGCAGGTTCCCCTGGGTGAATTTTATAAAAACTGGGCCCAAGACTTTCTTGCTGTTACTTTTAATTTTGCTCAGTATTTATCACCTGGCATATGTTCAGTTTGTGTATTGAATCAAGAGGTGTAGCTCCATTGGAAAGAGTTTGATGAGAAACCATGAAGATGGTGGGACATCTGTGGGGAGAAGAAGATGGAAAGAACCTAGTGTAAGTCCCCCAAGATGGTCTTGACTGTCATAAATCCTAAACAGTTTTTAAAACATACTCCTTGAGACTTCTTAATATCTTTGTTACATTTTTCATCTTCTGTTTTCTCATTTTTGCCTGGAATGTTTATTTGAGACAGTCTAACTGTTTATAATTAAAAAAGAAAGACCAAAAATTTTTTAAAGTGCTGTATTCTACAACTTTTTACTATGCCCTGAAATAAAAAAATGTATCTATATTTTAATGTATGAACACTGTTTATAGTTTGAAGTTTAGAGATTTTATTAAGGAGTATTGCTTAATTGCCAAGGTGTTGTTTGTTTGATGTTGGTCCTAGTAGATATTAGTAGTGTTTGTTTAATTATTTTTCTTCATTGAAACTTCAGTGTAAAGCCAAGGGGGAAGAAATATTCAAATCTTACTAATATGTAAGTTCTTCTGCTGTTAAGGAATAGTTTAGTAAATACTTTCCCCCTGCTAATATGTGTAATTTGGCTCCACTATCCAAATACTTTAAACATAAAAACTCTCATCTAAATAGAATACTGAATTAATTGCATTTCTGTTTTACTCTCCACTGTAAAATGAGTGGGTACCAGAATATTTGTCTGGCATAGTTATTTTTGTCACATTGTGTGGCCTTGTTTAATTTGTGTCTTTCAGTGTTCTTTAACTAAAGATTGGCAGTTCTTGGGTTTAAACAGCTGTACAAATGCAACCAACAACTTTGAGAGCAGTCTGGTCTTTCTCTGGAACTCAACACATCCATGCATTGCTAGGGAAGATGATCTTTTTGTTGCACAGCAGATAATATTTGTGATTACTGGTGTTTTAGAAAATACATATGCTGATGAGTAGAACTTCATTTCTCTACCTCCCCTGCTGTGATTTCCATGGTGGCAAAAGTGATGATCCTGCTTCAGTTTAGCTGTCCAATTTTTTATTGAAATGCTTTTAACCCTGACATGTTTAGTAGCAATGTTGTTTTATACAAGTCTGAGTTAATATTCTTGAACTGAATGCTGCTTATTCTTCTTTCAATGATGTGTGAGTTTTGGTGTGGTTTTTGGTTCTTTGTTTTGTTTTGGGTTTTTTGTTTGGTTTTTTTTTTTTTTTTGTTGTTGTTGTTCTTATTGTTTTTATTTACTGCAAGAGACCATGCCATGGAAATAGATAAGCATGAAGGAGATTAACATGTGTTTCTTTAGCATCTTGTAATTCAGTTTTCTGTGTTGACTGGTTGCTATTTAGCTTGAATTTGAACTAAGGCAAAAAGAAAAAAGGAACTTTCAAACTTATATTGTTACTTCCTTTTAGCCTAGAAATTACTCCATTGCTGAAGTGTGTCAGTTCAGAAGTGTTATCTTTACTCCATTCCTAGTAGTTAACCTTGAATGTGCTTACAGACACTCCAGACTCCTTGGCAGGTGTCTGCTCAGTTGGACAGGCCAAAATGACCATCTTCAGTGTTCAGTAAATCCAAAGAGGACAAAGAATCTGGAACTGTAGGATTAAAGCTTGCTTCAGTTTTTTTTTTTTGTTTTTTTAATGACAAAGGAATCTTCTAGAAGACTTAAGGCTGTGGCATTTCATTTTACCCCTTTTGAATGTGTGTGCAGTATCAGGTATAGAAGTATTTGTGTCTGCTCTCACTGAAGTTTATTCTGAGAAAGATGGAACTCAGACTTCCACCTTTGAGTTGTAATTGGATACATTTTAAGATGAACACTTAGTATTGTTTTTTATATTTGCAGATGGCTGGAATCCGTTTTCTCATCCATATAAGAAGTTGGAATATGGGAAGTGGGAGTTGTTCATTCCACCTGAAGATGGCCATTCTCCTGTGCCCCATGGATCAAAGCTAAAGGTGTTGGTTCTAAACTTACTCCACCTCTTGTAAACCCTTCTTACTCATTTACTGCCCATTTTGTTTTCTTTTAAGTAAATTTATCATCCTCTAATAGTTCTAAGAAGCAGAATCAGTTTATCTAGTTGAACAAAGTGACCTAAAGGAGTGAAATATTAAGCATCACAAAGATTTTGGGAACAGGCTGAAATGTAGTAGTAGGGTATTGCACCATATTATAAGAGGAAAACAGTTTACAAATTGATAATCTGAAAAAGAAAAATTAAGTAAAGTATAGGTAAAACATTTCTGTATTTGATGCAACTACATTTTATTAGGATCCTATTAAACTCTCCATGTCTTGGTAATTTTTTCAATACTTTTAACCATGGGTTTTCAGATGATTTTTTTCGTTGCTTTAATGGTGCATGCATATTTGTAAAACTTCTACTTACCCTTTAGGAATTCAGAGTATTGAGTGGAAGGCTTAAGTATGTGAAACTGAACACAGTTGTATTTCATGAGCATCCATGAGCTTAAAATGCTTTCTTCCAGAAATTAATGGAAAATTTCTTTCAGCTGTCAAATGCCACAGTTGTTTGCTTAGTGCAAATACACCCAATGACAGCTAACAGCAGAGTTGATGATTTCTAGGTGAATATTGATTTAAACCAGAGATGTGCTTTGTTGCATATAGAGCTTGAGTTGCAGAGATACTGGGTGCTAATAGAGGGCAGTAATAAGTAGTAAAGGAAAGAAATGTACTGAAGTTACCTATAGACTAGGAAAATTAAGAAACTGGGAGCAAAATAATATTTGTACAATATATACAAATAATATTTTTATTATACTACTATATTTTCAGAGATCCCATCAACACAACTAAAATACTGAAAAAAAAAATCCTCATTTTCTGCTGGAAATCAGCTTAAGGAAACAAGAAATCTGTCAAACCAGAGATATGTATAAAAATGCTCTGGAAATGCTTACTCAGTGTGTGTGCTTATCTCTGTGCTTTTTGTTATGGCTTATGAAATCATCCCAGTAATAAATAAAGATAAATTGAAATTTAGGAATAATTATTCAAGGACGAGAAAGCTGCTTTTATTTTACAGAGCAGGAAAGAAAACAGTTGTCTGCAACTCAAAAATGCAAGGTGTTATTTAGCAAGGTATGAGAGTGCAGAATGGTTGTTTAATATTTTCCATGGTTTTGAGACGCAAGTAGGTTAGATTTTTTGATTGTTGCTAAATTTACATTCTGTGTTTTATCTACAAAACTCTTGACTCATCTACTGTACAATATTCTATGCTCTTTGTAAAGATAAGAGGTGTGAATGATGATGAGTGTTAATAATTATTATGCATAATAGCAAAATAGCATAGATTCTTAAATGCTTTTGGAGCAACGTAAAATGATTTTTTTCTCTTAGATAATCACTGGTCATATCTCCTTATTTTGAAGTACAGGTCTTGATAGTATTTTCTTCCTGTTCAGCATTTTCTTTGAAATCTGAACTCATAAAGCAAGGATTACATTATACATAATTTGTTTAGTATGCAGAATTTATACTGATTGCTCTTGGTACTGATGTACTTGCAAGATGATTTGTTCTACTTCCCTAGTTGCTCTGAGTTTTCTGAAAAGCCAAAAGATACCCACAGGCAGAGTAGAATGTGAGTTTTTCCTTATTTATTTATTTTTCTTGTTTTAGGCTTCTTCTACCTGTTACTTTAATTGTGCTTTCCATGATCAATTTTAGGCAAAGTTATGTGTGTCATTGACACTCAAATTACATTATTGTCTAACAGGCTTTTGAAGCAGGAGTGTCTGTCTGCATGTGAAACAAATTTTCTTTGGAGTATATGCCTTAATAAAAGGACCAAATATTTAGGAACTTGATTCATGAGTGTATGTAATCATAATTGATGGCTCCATCCATATGGAGCTACTCCCAGCCTCATCTGTAGCTTTGCTGGTAATCTTCCATGACATTTTGTTTTTGTTCTGTGGTGCCTTCAGGACTGAATCCAACACTTCACACTGTGTACTTGTGATGTAGTCAGAGGATGGGACTAACAGAAAAAACAAAAAAAGGCTTCAGTAAAGGTAGTTCAAAGGTGGTTTATCACAAAAGCTTTTGGAGTATTCACATGGTAGGCATGTACCTTACCTTCATGCTACAGCTAATCTTATCCTATTCCATTCTACCGATGGGTGCAGAAAGCTTCTGCTTTTCTGTAAGTTTTCCTTGAGCTACATGGTTCAAACATTTATGATTGTTCATAATGTCTGTATTTCGTGTATTAGAACACAGTTTTGCTGTTCTTTGTTCATGTAGAAGCTGAGAATATTGATTGTTTGCAGATAGAAATTGCTATGCAGATTGCAGAGGTAATGTTGAAGTACACAGGCACTGGTGTCTGCACCAGACTAGACAACAGACATCTTTCTAATAATGATAGTTTCCCATTTTTCTTTACTAAAGAAGCCTAAGGAAATCACAGCTTTAAAAGTTTCTTTTGCCAGTATGATTCTTAAAAACTTAAGTTAAAATAGTCAGCTTCAGACATTACTGTGGTGATTAATCTGTTAAGGGGAAAAAAAATGTCTCCTCCAGAAGGTCCTTATCTTTAGCTTCTGTCTACTGTGTTTTGATCTTCAGTTCCACACAGGCAAATGCCAAGTTCTGAAATGGTAACAAGGTCATTTCTTTTAAATAAGTAATATCTAAGCCAGAATGGGAAATGGATGGAGTGTAGTCAGTGACACTAATTTAGATCAGGTCACAAAATATTTTCATGGGAAAATAAATGAGGAGCAGAGGTCAAACGTTTGCCTGTTTTCAATAGTAGCAGGCTGTCTACTGTAGCTTTTCAGGCAGTCTTCTCATATGTAAATATAAACATTGCAGAAAATGAGTAATTAAAAAGCCTGCTGTATATCTTCTGACACTTCTCTGTGTGAAGAGATGGAAGCTTATGATAGTTGAGTGACTCCCTTGTGAATTTTGACATCCATCTTCAAAATAAGGTTACCTGCTAGAAAAGGGTATCTTTTCTCTTTCTCCCGTGGATCAATTGGGAGCTTAGGGTGAGTTAAGTGAAAAAATACAGTTGCTATCGTGGTAAGATAGTACTGTCTTTGAAGCTTCTGACAGATGTCACAAGTGAGCACAGATTTAAACCCAAACCCAAATGTTATCATTTCATAAAAGAAGCATTTTTACCTCTCATTATTTCTAATGAGGTAGTTTGAAAGTGTTTTCCTTAAATAATCAGCATGTTTGTCACTCTACAGTGATAGCAGTTGGGGTGCAAGTACTTGCCTTTTGTGGTGGAAAATGATTTTTTTCCTTCATTTTTGGTATTCTTAATTATCTTTTTACAGAACACAGCAACCTTCTAAAAAAATTATCATGGATAGACTTTTATAGCAAGTCTCATCATGTGTGGTCGTAGTAATGCAGAAGTTTAATCAGTGTTACACTTTGTCCTTTTACTGTTTATTTATAATTGATTTTTCCAACTGCTTAAATGTACCTGTAAGTTAAGTTTTCACTGTAGTTGGCAAGATCCTAATTTTGAAATAGTGTCAGGGATAGTAGGTAAAATTAGGGATATGGATAGTATTGGTAAAAATTGAGATCTTAGTATCTGCACTGGGGAGTTTGCTTAATATCATTTACAGGAATGCCAAGGAACAACACAAAATGGAAAACAATTGGCAATTTGAATCTTTAAGAATTCAAACCTAGTTGAAAATAATTTCCAAATTCATGGTCAAGTTCTAAAGTATTTTCACACATCTAAAATAAGAAAAAAATGGCAAGATTAGTACTTGAAAAATATTGGCAATTATGATACAGCTACCTGTTGCCCTGTAACAGTTACTAGGAAAAGAATCTTTATAGCAGAACACCTAAATTTTCTTTTGTGAGCTGGAGAGGATATATTAAAATACTAGTGATTGTTCAACTTTCTAGTAATAACAACAGATATATGATTTCTGAAATTATTACCAGAACAATATTTTTTTAGATTAATAAACTCATCTGACACTTCAGCTTACCATGTGCTGGGTGGGTGCATGTATATGTAACTAAATACCACTTGAATATTCATGAAATGTAATTCATATGTTTTTCCTGGAAAGAACACCTCAGAAAATGGTAGAAACTTTTTTCAAAACACTGCATTACAGTATTTGTTAAGTCTGTATCCTTTTCTTCTTCACATGTCTGTGTGTGTGTGTATATATATATTTTCTATGTATTGAAATGGTGACATTAATGGTTTTTTGGGGGAGTACCTTGTACTGTAATGAGGTGATTAGATTTGATAACCTGGGCACTTGTTAACACAGTATTTTTCTACTGATACTCTTGCATGTTTGAGTGGTTTCAGTGATTGCTGAACAGGAGTTGTAGGTGCCAAGGCCAGTACAAGAGTGAGACAAGCATGAACAACACAGTTTCATCAGTTTGTAGAAAATGCTTTCAAAGTTCACTGTGATTTGTTTTAATAGTTTTGCAGTCCAAATGTATTACCCTTTTTAATATTCAAGTGTGCAAAGGAAGAACTACATTGAGTCAGAACATTAACAGTTTATTAATCATGATTGAAAGTACCTAAAAGTACATTTGTATTCATGAGGTGCTGGGTAGAGGAAAGCTAGTTGCAAAGAATACTTTTAAAACTTAATCCTTACGGTTTTTACCACTCTGTCCCATACTTCATAGTAGATCTGCACGCTATGTGTTAAACTTGTAAACCTTGAAGAGGAATCAAATATGGTGACGGGGTAGGTTAATCTGTGTCAGGGAGCGACTGCTAGTAAAATTCATCAAGTGTAATTACTGTCACTGATGAAATAGATGGTGCTGCAGCTGACCCTACTGATCAGGAGGTGCAGCAGCATAGTACCAGACTGGTGTGGAGTTCAGGTTTCATGCACTTCAAGCACTCCATAGTAAAAACGTGTTTCTAATGTCAATGTGGAAACCCAGGAAATCTATTAAT